ACATCCTTGGCTGTTGAATGTATTGACTATCTGAACCAGAATCAATCCAGAATCCTTAAAACCCAAGACTGTAGTCAAAGGACAGCGCCTGGCAACAAAGACCCTGGACCTCACGGCAGCCAGTGTGACATCCAGACAGTGCTCAACTCCGTTCCGACTACCAACAGCAGCATATTAGCCTCAGATGACAGCTCTGTCCTCCAACTCTTTCAGGACAAGTTCCTTCAGTTCAGTGTTGAAAAATTTCAGGAGTTGAAGGCCCAGGCCAGTGCCTTGAGGAGCTCCAGGGGAATGAGGGTCTGGAACACGGCATGGCTCCGGTGCCAGGAGGCCCGGCAGTTACTTCAGGAGAGGATGCAGGATGTCACTGACAAGGTCTTCAACGGTCAACCACAGTGTCGTGGGTGTTGCGGGCATCATTATGTGGATGTTGCCAGCACTCAGACAGCACCACCTGGTAGTGTGGCGGTACAGTCAACACCAGGGCCACAACATCCACAGTGGGCGAACATTGTGTCAGGGGCAGTGGATTTTGAGAAACGAAGACCAATCCTGGCCAAGAGCAACACAACTGAAGCGGAATGTAAAATTACCATCAAACCTGAAGATAAAAGTGATCATGGTGGCGGCCAGGGGTCAAAGGTCACACCAAGGTCATCTCAAAGGTACGCATTCACTTGGTGAGAGGAAATAGACGAAACAATGGTGTAACAATTATGCTGAAAGATGCATACTTGAGCAGCATGGTGAACTAGTGGTTAGTACGTCTTCCTTAAAGTTCTGAGATTTGGGGTTCTTGGAGTGTTGAGTTTGCTTGTTCTCTCCATGCCTCCTACCATATTTTAAAAATCATGTACACTCGTTTCATTGAAGACTCTAAATTTGTGTTGTGAAATCAGTTAGAAATTGTATTAAAGTGTTGTGGGATAATAGTTTGGGGTATACTTCGGTTTTGAGCTATTAAGGTAGGCATTTATAAACATTTTGGCGGTGCTCTAGGTCAGCAAAGAAAGCGGAACGTGAGACCAAGAGGAACAGGGCAAAAAGTGATCGTGACGCCGCCGCTGTATCTCAGCCTCACACCGTCGGCTGCCAGTGGTTTCCGTGGGGACGAGGCCTGCGAGCCAAGTCCCAAGATTCATCTTCGACAGCGATAGGGGCGCCTGAGTCTTCCACACCTGTTGAGGAGCATGTTAGACCATCGTCCTCCTGCTCCCACCATGGTCAGCCATCTTGTCGGATCCTCCAAGAGGCTCAGAAATTTCAGCTCTCCCGCCACGGAACCTTTTGCTCCGAGGGCTCCTGCAATCGGGGAGTTGCGGAGGACAACCGGGTTTATCTCTGCAAACACTCCAGCCTGCCCAATGGCAGGGGTGAAGGACCGTTTTGTTTGGAAAGGCCACAAGAGGGCGCCAACAGTGCTCTGTAAGTGGATGAAGTTTTTGTTTCAGTGTTCCTGAGAGCTGAATGCACAATTGAGTTTGGCTCACATCCTATTTTGTTTTTTTAATCTTCTTTGTCTCCAAGCTTGCATTGAGGTTCTACAGGTATTGTTTCTTCAGATTTTTTTCTTCATCATCTTTCCTTTGATATCCCGGTGGGATTCACAAAAGACGGTCAGCAGCCAGGTTGCATTCATAAATATTCTCACAATAGTTTCAGAGAGCTCCTAACACTTAGCTGACAATAGTATGGATCACTGTTGAAAATATGGAATGCTTTATAGTCTGAAATTTCCACACCCCCCAAAAAATTCTAATGAGATTCTTAGTGGAAGTTGTGGAAAATATTTCCATGTAAACTGGTGTGTAAAAACAAGACATGAATGTGTTTCTACGATCAGACTAAAATGAACGGTATTAAAAACATGCATTTAGAAAAGTAATAAGTCACATGCAATTTGTGTTTCGAAATGGCAGGTGCATGGGCAAGCATGCAAATAGACACCTGTTTCTATTTGCATTCTGTAAATGTCATCTTATAACACTGTCTAAGATGACATGAAATATTTCTTTTCTCCATATTTTCCAGGCGCTTGCAGCATGTCCTGGAGGAGGTGCTGTTCACAGAGCGGGAGTATGTCCGCTCGCTGAACTATATCCTGACTCACTACCTACCCCTGCTGGACAGATTGGACATCCCCCAGGACCTCCGAGGCAAGCGTGCTATTATCTTCGGCATCCTGCAGAAGCTTCATGATTTCCACAGCCACTACTTCCTGCCCGAGCTGGAGGCCTGCCACGGGGATCCTGCTATGGTGGCCCGTTGTTTTCTCACAAATGTACGGCAGTAGACACTCGACATTATTATTATTGTATATGCCCTAATTTTTGCTAACTTTCACTCACTGTCTCTCTTCAAAAATGTATGGAGGTTAATTGAAGTCTGTAAATTTCCCATTATGACTCAGTTGCTTCAAAACAGCCTTTTTCAGTCATCAATTCTTCGCATTTGATATTACAATGAAATGTCTCCATCATTTTGCGTTCTTTTTTGATTGAAGGATACCTTGGTAATGTTTTTTAAAGCACATATGAAAATCAAGGATCTTGATGAAAATGTACCCGTATATTTATTTCTCTCCACAGAGTGACACTTTTGGCCTTTACGCACTCTACAGCAAGAACAAACCTCAGTCAGACTCCCTGATACTGCATCGTCGCCATGACATCTTCAAGGTCATTTGATGTCTAACCAAAACATGAGTTACAGCCATTTAGTCTGGTAAATGATCAGGTTCCTTTATTGTTGTGGTTAAAGCACATGAAGAGAAAGCCACAAAAAAAGCACACAAAGAAACATGAGGAACCAAATGATCTGATTGGTCAACCGCGCGTGCAACATCACATGACCACAACCCTTCATACCATGTGACAATTTAGGGGAACTTTTTAAGAAGTTTTGAGTCTTTGTGGTGCTTGACACACAAGTGCCTCCTCACTAAGTATGTGATTTGTTACATAATAGTTTTATTTATATATATATATATATATATATA